TTGCCCAACATGACTTCTGTTCCACCATCTACACCCCTCTCCTCTCTTCCTTCAAATTTCAAGGTTCCCTTTTAAAGCCATAATTTTAATCATTATTCCTGGAGGTGGGGACTCCCTGCACAGGGAACCCCAATCCAAGAGGGCAGAGCATTTAATTCCTTTCCCGAGCTCACCACATGCCCCACCCTCGCTCCCTGGGCTCTGCCCTGACTCTCTCTGACCTCAGGCAGGGATGGACTCTCTGAGAGCCTCAGTTTACTTAACATTAAGTGGAAAGATTAGACTAAATCTGTGCTGTGGTTTCACTGGGGCAATTGTTTGATTTGGTTTTGTAATCACCAAAACTCCTTCAAGATTCTGATGAAATCTATCCAGGGAAAAGTACACTCATAAATAAACATTTTGCAAATCATCTCCAAGAGTTTACAAACTTTGCAGAGCCTACCCACAGTCTTCACCCTAGCAAAGTAATGCTCAAAATTCTCCAAGCTACGTAGGCTTCAACAGTACATGAATCAAGAACTTTCAGATGTTCAAGCTAGATTTAGAAAAGACAGAGAAACCAGAGATCAAACTGCCAACATTCGTTGGATCATAGAAAAAGCAAGAAAATTCCAGAAAAACATCTACTTCTGCTTCATTGACTATGCTAAAGCCTTTGACTGTGTGGATCACAACAAACTGTGAGAAATTCTCCAAGAGATAGGAATACCAGACAACCTTACCTGCCTCCTGAGAAACCTGTATGCAGGACAAGAAGTAACAGAATCAGACAGGGAACAAAGGACTGGTTCCAAATAGGGAAAGGAGCACGTCAAGGCTGTATATTGTCACCCTACTTATTTAACTTATATTCAGAGTATATCATGAGAAACGCTGGGCTGGGGGAAGCAGAAGCTGGAATCAAGATTGCTGGAAGAAATATCAATAACCTCGGATATGCAGATGCCACCACCCTTATGGCAGAAAGCGAAGAACTAAAGAGCCTCCTGATGAAAGTTAAAGAGGAGAGTGAAAAGGCTGGCCTAAAACTCAACATTCAGAAAACAAAGATCATGGCATCCAGTCCTATCACTTCATGGCAAATAGATGGAGAAACAATGGAAACCGTAAGAGACTTTATTTTCTTGGGCTCTAAAATCACTGCAGATGGTGACTGCAGCCATGAAATTAAAAGACGCTTGCTCCTTGGAAGAAAAGCTATGACCAACCTAGACAGCATATTAAAAAGCAGAGACATTACTCTGCCAAGAAAGGTCCATCTGGTCAAAGCTATGGCTTTTCCAGCAGTCATATATGGATGTGAGAGTTGGACTATGAAGAAAGCTGAGCGCCGAAGAATGGATGTTGTTGAACTGTGGTGTTGGAAAAGACTCTTGAGAGTCCCTTGGACTGCAAGGAGATCCAACCAGTCCATCCTAAAGGAAATCAGTACTGAATATTCATTGGAAGGACTAATGCTGAAGCTAAAACTCCAATACTTTGGCCACCTGGTGCAAAGAACAAACTCATTGGAAAAGACCCTGATGCTGGGAAAGATTGAAGGCAGGAAGAGAAGGGGATGACAGAGGATGAGATGCTTGGATGGCATCACCAACTTGATGGACATTAGTTTGAACAAACTCCAGGAGTTGGTGATGGACAGGGAAGCCTGGAGTGCTGCAGTCCATGGGGTCGCAAAGAGTCAGACACAACTGAGCGACTGAACTGACTGACCCACAGACTTCAGTTTAATAATCCCTGTGGCTAACTGCCTTTTATTTCTTTTCAATAGCTCTCTCTGGCTCTAATTTTAATTCCTCTTAAAAATACAAACAGGAAAGTAGCAATTTTCATCCCTGCTGAAAACATACCTCCAAGGAAAAAATAGTGGAGGACAAGGGAGCCTGGAGTGTCAAAGTCCATGGGGTCACAGAGAGTCGGACACAACTGAGCGACTGAACAACAACCAAGAATGGTTCTGACATTCCTTGCCACATTCTGATGAGCAGGATTCTAGAAAATCCCTGAGCTAAGAAGATGAGTGATTTAGGCTAGGAAGCCCCATGCATCTGTTCATTCGCCTCTCAGAACTGAAAGCTATTATCTGTAGAATTTGACAGGCCTCTCCCCTCATGTAATCTTTCTCCATCTTTCAATTTGTTTCATAAAATGTGACCCATATATTTAGCTTCTGTCTTGTGTGGCTCAGATGGTAAAGAATCTGCCTGCAATGCAGGAGACCTGGGTTCAATCCCTGGATCAGGAAGATCCCCTGGAGAAGGAAACAGCAATCCCCTCCAGTGTTCTTGCCTGGAGAATTCCATGGAGAGAGGAGCCTGGTGGGCTACAGTTCATGGGGTCTCAAAGAGTCAGACATGACTGAGCAAGTAACACTTTCACTTTCACTTCAAATTCAGTTGGAGTTGTTGTGCTGAATTTAAACAGCTATGTTGTAAACAAAATCATTTTTAAATCTTTTTCTATCAGAACAATTAAATTGGGTCAAGTGGGAAGTGTATGGAAACATCATCGTAAACTCTTTAAAAAGTACAACTTTTTCTAGCTGTATCACTGAAACTGATCCACAGGAAAATCACTCATTTAGACTCAGGGAACAATTCAGTAACACAGACCTAAGCAATAAAAGAATCATTTTTCCTGCAAAGGTGGATTTATTCAGGAATAGCAAAGGAAATGGAATTCAGAAGAAGCAAGCTATATAGCAAAAAGCCATGGGCTTTTTCTTTTACAAAGAAAAAGGAGGAAGTTGGGACGGGTGGTCTTGAATGGAAGTCTTTTGGAGAAAAGTGAGAGTTCAAGGTCTCCCTGGCTGGGTTCTGTTGGCTGAGTTGCCAGGGTGGTTTCTTTAAATAAAATGTGTATTTATTTATTTTTGACTGTGCTGGGTTTTTGTTGCTGCATGGGCTTTTCTTTGGTTGGGGTGAGTGGGGGGCTACTCTTCACTGCAGTGTGCAGGCTTCTCATTGCAGTGGCTTGTTTTGTGGAGCATTGGCTCTGGGACAGGCAGGCTTGGGTAATTGTGGCACGTGGGCTCAGCAGTTGCAGCTCCCAGGCTCTAGAACACAAGCTCAGTAGTTATGGTGCACAGGCTCAGCTGCCCCGAGGCATGTAGGATCTCCCTGGATCAAGGATCGGAACCCGTGTTCCCTGTACTGGCAGGTGGATTCTTTACCACTGAGCCTCCAGGGAAGCCCCAGGTGATTTCTTATAGGGGATGCAATGCACATTTTCTCCGGTGTGGGCTATGATAGATAATTCTTTCCTGTAAGTGACCTGGAGGACATGACTGAAGTGACTTAGCACAGCACACAGCACATGACGGAGACATAGGTAGAGAACAGGCCTGTGGACACAGCAGGGTCGGGGGGAAGGTGAGAAGTAGCACTATATCATATACACTACCGTATGCAAAATAGATAGCTAGTGGGAAGATGCTGCATAGCACAGGGAGCTCAGTCTGGTGTCTGTGACCACCAAGAGGGGTGGGAGGGAGGCTCAGATGTCTATCTATGGCTAATCCACACTGCCATATGGCAGAAACCAACACAACATTGTAAATCCTCCAATTAAAAATCATTTTTTTAAAGTGCTGTCCTTGCATTATTTTGACCATTTACTCCTGATCATTGTCACTGTGAAACGATGGCCTCCTGGCTGTTGACCAGTCCTTTCTCAGCTCCTGGCTGTCCCAGTCTCTCCACAGGCAGCTCACGGGCAACCCAGAAAGGGCTGAACAACCCCAAGTCCCGGTCTTTCATAGCCTAACCTTGTCAGTGACATCCTATTTTTTTTGGCTCACCCTATTTTATTCTGTTGTTGAGAACAGGTCACTGGGCCCAGCACACACTCAATGCGGGGAGGCACGGCAGGTGCAAACACCAGAAGGTGGGATGAGGGGGGGGCATCTTGGAAGCTGCCCACAGACGTGAAATTTTAGTGATTATATCCTCTATATCTATTTACACTTAGGATGAAAATTTTCCAGAGTCATATTAAAAAATGTATGGGAGGATGGATAGTTTTCCAAAATTCTTCTTAAATAAACAAGTAAAAGGTTTGGAGACCACGGAGCTCGAGGCCTAAAGCAGCTATGTCCTGTCGCCAGTGGGGGCTCAGATGGTCGCCAGGGATCCGCCAGCAGCTGGCAAAGGGCCAGTGCCTTGGACCAGGAGAAGATCCACCGCCTCAGACCTGGAGGTCTATCTACAGTCGGTGGGATCTGGCTGGGGGTTGTCCGAGGCCAGCAGAGGCGTTCAGGGTTGTGAGGAAAGGCAATGTGGACGACGGTTGTCTCAGGATGAAGGAAGGACACCTTCTGCGGACTCTCAGCAGCAGACTTGGAGCGGGTCTCTGGCGAACACGCGGGCTCAGCGCATCGCTGCGGACACAGGAGGCCAAGGGCCCCCACCTGGTCTGGGAACCCCGTGCAGTCAGAGCGCGGAGCGGTCCCGGCCTGGAGAAGGGGGAGGAAAGCCAGGAAAGCAATCCAGGGAGAAGGTGCGGATACAGAGAGAGGGAACTGAGAAAAAACTTCCTCTGACGGAGAAGAAGAAGAGTAAGACCGGAGGCGAGAGCAAGGGGCAGGTATTAAAATAGTTTTACGGCCTGACGATAAGAGCGGAGATGGAATATGAGTCGGACGAGCTGGAGCGCAGGCGACGCTGGACGAGGGTTCAGGGAGCAGGCGGGGCGGGAGAAGCGCGGGGAGGATCCAGGGAGGAGCGCAAGGAGGAGCCGGGGAGGAGCGCGGGGCGGAGCGCGGGGAGGAGCGCGAGGCGGAGCCCGGGAGGAGGGCGCACCTGGGACGCACGTCGGGGAGGGACACGCGGAAGGACTGTCCCGGCCGAGACCTCCCCTCTGCGAGGCCCGCCCCGGTCAGGGCTGGAAGCCGGAAGCAGGCGTGGGAGAACGACTCGGATCTCAGCCGAGGGGATCCCGGGGCGCGCCCTCGTTGCGCCCCCAGTCCGGGCGCGAGCCCTCCACTAAGGGCCGGGACCATGGGGGCTCCGCGCCTCCTGCCGCGCGTGTTCCCCGGGTCCCCGCCGGGGCCGTCGCTCCTACTCTTCCTCCTGCTCCTGCGCCCGCCGGGCCTCGGTCTCGCCTCCCCGAGGCTCTTGGACCACCCGGCGCCTGTATGTTCCCAGGAGGTGAGATCGGACGCGTCCCGGGGCCGGGGGGTGGGTGGAGGGGCGGTTAGGGGTAGCCGAGGATGCTGTCGGTGCAGGGGCCGGGGCCGGAGTCGCGGGGTTTCGGGGGTTCCGAGGCTTGGGCACAAGAGCGGGCCTCCCTGGGCAGGACACGCGGAGCGTCAGGAGTTGCGGTGCGAGTCAGGGAAGAGACGGAGTTTGCTGGGAAAGATCGCTCAGCGCGGGTTGCACAACCTGGGCAGGAGTCCCGGCGGAGCTCCAAACTCGGGGAAGGACTTGGGGGAGGCGCGCCGGCCGGAGGCAGGGCCTGAGGAGGGCGAGGCGGGACCGGACCCGGTGCCAACCCCGGGAGTCCACCCCTCCTCCCCCCGAGCCGGCGCCCAGGGTACCCCGCGGCCGCAGCGTCTGGCGCACGAGCCCGGGGTCTGCGGAGCAGCTTCCGGGGAGAGTTGTAAGAGCAGCCCGATGACCCCTCCGGGCGAGCGCTGGGCACCGCGCGGACCTTCCGGAGGGCGCCCCCTCCGGCCCCCACCGCCCGCCCGCGTCTAGAGTCCCGCGGGGCTGTAGGCACCCGTCAGTTGCCCGCTGTGCCCACAGGAAGCGACTCGCCCACGCCCACCGCCGGGTAGTGGCCTTAGGGTGGAGGCCCGTCTTAAGGGAAAAGAGACAGATGGTACTGGCCGCGCGCTGCCCTCTCCCGCCGCTCCTCGGCCCCCTCCCCTTCACCTCTGACCCTAAGAAATGACATTCCTTATCTGAGTCAGAGGATGTGGAACAACCAAAGGGGTATTTCTCCCTATCTAATGTTGCAGAGGATTCATAAGAGGGTGAAAGGTCAGTGACTGTTTAGCAGAATCTCTCTTTTTAAAAAACAAAACAAAACATGAATGATGTTGGGAAAGGTCCTTGTGACCCCCTACTCCTGGGCAGAGCAGGGGACCCGCTCAGCAGGTCCTACTCAGGGACTCTGCTGTCTGGGACTCAGTTCATTTTTAGATGGCCTTTTGCTGGCCGCCTGCAAAATACAAGGTCCTGAAACAACAAAGACACACCCGCTGATAACCGGATTTGGGGCAGTAAATCACAGAAGTCAGCCTGGAGCAGGAGCCTCTGTCAGCCAGGAGCGATGGAGTTCCAGGGAACAGTGCCCTTCCTGCAGAGAGGGCACTGGGGCAGCCCTCCAAGAAAGAGTCTGGAGCATTCCAAGAGGGGGAAAGCGCTGAGCCAAGGCCTGAGGGTGGGCAGGATGAAGAGTGGGAGGTCTGTGTGGCAGGAAAGTGGGAGAAGCAGCTACAAATTAGGGAGGGTCTCCGCTGAGCTGGGCTGAAAGGGCTTGGCCTCAGTTGCTCACTGGAAAAGGGGCTTGGCTTGATGTGGGGGAGGGGGCTGGAGAGGGACCCTGGGCAGTTTTCCTACACCTGCCAGGCTCTGCCTTCCCTCTGCCTCCTGTACACCTGGCCAGAGAACAGGAACCCACTGCCAGCTGGCTCCCCTGAAAAGAGAGGGGTTAGGCCCCCCAGATTTCTGTCCCTCCACTGGCGCTTCCATGGATGGAGCACCACTTAGTGGCTTGACCTCAGAGGACCTGGCTTCGCAGCCTGACTTCACCACCTACAGCCCACTGCCATAAGCACAGGCCGTGGGGGCTGACAGATGTTTGCGGACTGAAAAGAGGAAGGGGAGGGTGAGCAGGTGAATGACAGCTAGCTCTGCCCAAGAGGCAGCGATGGGTGGAGAGACCAAAAGCTGGTGCCAGCTGCTCGGAGTTAGCCAGGGAGCTGGTGCTCCTCAGCAAAAGAAGCCCGCCCGCCACAACCTGAGAAGAGCCCCCTGCTCGCCATGACTGGAGAAAGCCAGCTCATAGCAACAAAGACCCAGCACAGCCAAAAATAAATAAATTTAAAAATTTTAATATGTATTTTTTTTTTAAGTGGTGAGGGGGTGATGGTACCTACCTCATAGAACTGTTGTAGATTCAATGAGATCTCCATACAAAGTGCTATTGATGCCTGGCCCAGGAGAGCTCAGGGAACACTGGCCACTACCACCTACCACCGTCTTCATCATCGTGGGCGTCCCCTTCTGGGTTTCTGCAGGAGGTCTGACATGGTGCTGTCCATAAGCTCATAAACAGTGTTCTGGTCCTGTTGTTGTTCCATCGCTCAGTCGTGTCCAACTCTCTGCAACCCCACGGACTGCAGCACACCAGGCTTCCCTGTCCTTCACTATTCCCCGGAGCTTACTCAAACTCATGTCCATTGAGTCGGTGATGCCACCCAACCATCTTACCTTCTGTCGTCCCCTTCTCCTGCCCTCACTCTTTTCCAGCATCAGGGTGTTTTCCAGTAAGTCAGCTCTTCACATCAGGTGGCCAAAGTATTGGAGTTTAAGCTTCAGCATCAGTCCTTCCAATGAACACCCAGGACTGATCTCCTTTAGGATGGACTGGTTGGATCTCCTTGCAGTCCAAGGGACTCTCAAGAGTCTTCTCCAACA